ACACACAGACACACACACAGACACACACACAGACACACACACAGACAAGTGCAGTACCATTATCCTAGTGAATGCTAGTTTCCAAAAATAAATATATTAAATATATTAAAATATAAGTGCTCCAATTATTTCCAGCAGATAGAAAGCACACAAATATAGTTGTATAGTTATTAAACACATATATTGCTGCAGCACTGCCACCCACCACCAGCCTGCCTGCAACCACAGTGCTTCCCAAATGTCCCAGAGCCAAAGGAACACTAATGGCTCCATCACTGCTGTACAGCTCTCCTACAAAAAAAATTCCCTAACTTTCCCATCCTACAACTGGTTCTGTAATTTTCCAGTGCAAAACATTAAACTTATCACACCCAGTCTGGAAAACATCTTTGAGGAGCTGTAATAGATGTTGGCTAAGAGAATATTTAGGTTGCTAAGAAATATTAGAGAAGGGACTTGGGTTACATGGTCATCAGCTTTTGGGTTTTCTGCAGGCACATTAGAATTTCCCAAGTGATATTAAAGCATTTCTAACATACCCACGGGTCACAGTCCCAATGACTTATAGAGGGCTGCGTGTGATAAAACACTTCAGGTGTTGGACATGGATAGTAAATGCTTTTCGAAGGACACAAAGCTTAAAGGAAATTAAAACCAACTTTGTAACATTAGGTAGTCTCAGTAGGGATTCAGGCCTCCCATCTTGCATAAGTTTCACATTTACTCAACTTTATACCCAACAGACCGAGCACAAAAAAATGCTAGGCAAAGGAAAAAATAATTATAAGACTGGGACCAAAATGCTAACGTTATATAAGATGATCTGAAGGTAGAAGTCTTCGGAGGAGATGCTAAACTTTTCTTTGTTCCCTTAAAAAGACCCAAAATTTTGTTTAAAAGAGAGGTGGCTAGAACGGATATTACATCTTCCCCCAATGTAAACATTCCTCTTACAAGCTTCAGGCTGAAAAAAAAAAACCCCACCCCACAACACATTAAAGAAGTGTTTATCCTAAAGAAAACCCCCACTGTTACAGGGGAATGCACGTTGCAAAGACTTTCATGCAATTCAGGCATCATCAGAACATTGCAGTTAAGCAATCAGTGATGGTATAATACAACTTAAACAATGAAGGGGGCTACCAGTACATTATTTGGGGCTTTATTACTGTCTCTTCAAAGTGGAGTAAATAATTTTAAATCCACACACGCAAAAAATATCAATAATAAAACCAGTATCAAATGAAGAAGTGTCTGGGTCCTATGACACCACAGATTTCTACTTTCAGTGCTTTTATTTACATAGTTCACTAAGCTGTCACACAATGCACCATTTTTAGCACAGAGTCTACAGTAAATTAGCTTTTGGCTTAACAGGATACCCCATAAAAACCCCAGGCAGGCACAGGGAGCGATCTCTTTCCCAGCTGCTTAGAGCTGCACCAGAGCCACACCGAGGGCTCCAGCACTGCCCAAGCTGTTAATCTGAGGGGTGACACACAACTATGTGCTTTTCCATTTTCCCATGATTTCCCAGCAAGGGTTTCAAATTAACACAGGCAACGTTCATTAAGGCTGCCCGGCCTTTTGACGCAAACGGCAGCCAGAGAAACAAATGATGATTAACCCTCCAGTCCCACGGAGGCACTGCCAAAACCAACTCCCAGCCAAGGGGCTGCCTTTGCCCCCCCACCTCCACCTGACCTCCCTGTGTTGATGTCATCATCACAACTGCCTGGAAATAGTCCTCAAAAGGCACGTCCTGGTACAAACTAATTTCCTGTCAACACGCCGCCTGCAAATCCAGGCAGCCACAGTTAAGCCCCTCACATAATCCACGCAGGGCCATGTGTGCACGTGCCCAAACCAGAAATACCTTCAACTCCAAAATAAAACGTGTGTGAGCAAAGAGGAGTCTGGCTGCTCCAGAAGGACCTGGGAATTTCAAGGAACCTCTTGTGTTGCCCTAATGAAATACATCAGGCTATGAGTTAATTTTTTGCCAACCCCTCTTTATTTAAAATCCTCGATGAAGGAATTTTAAAGGCAAAAACTGTCTTTGCTTACTAGTGTATTAGATCACTCAGAGCCAGATATCCTTCTCTCTATGACATTTCAGCTACTCCTGCAAGTGTAGCACACACCAGTCTCAGACCAAGCTCCTGCACAGGCAGTTCACTTGACCATTAGAGAAGCTTCCTAAATGGCAAAAGCCTGTCAGGTAAGACTATCCATGGATTAAAGCAGACTAGTGATGGTGAATATGAAAGACAACCCTGTTCTTGCTATTTTATTTTAGCTACAGGCACTCCCAATACACATTTTACCAGAATAAATCATGCATTCAGCAAGTGTACGAAAGCCTCACAATTAATCAGAATTAATTCTGGCCTTGTCTGATAGAATTGAGAGATCATGAGCACCAGCTCTAAATTCTATATAGCAGGTGGGGGCTCTCCACAGCAGCTTTTATTTCTATCTCCTTTGGCCTTATCCAAAGACCCTTCTAGCCAGCTGGATTCATATATCAGTGGGCACTGAAATTTCCCCCTGGATAATTTCAGCCACTCTCATACATCTTCTTGGAGATATAAAAGCAACCACAGCCTGATTCTATCACTGCATCAAGGAGTACATACAGTTCACTCACTTATATAGTTCTTCAAGCCAAGGAGATTTTGTTACCAGACATAGCCAGATGTATGAAATCATATTTAAATCTGTTACCCTTCTTGCTATAGGCATTTTTTTTGACAGCAACTGACTTCTTGTTTTGTACATTTTCACTTATTTAATTTCCTTCTCTTTCCCCTGCCCTTTATCTAATGGATTTTTTAATATTAGAAAACTAAAAACAGTCTGAGAATGCAGTCACTGTGGTTTCACCTCACAACGAAATTTGGTAAGCATCACCACTGCGAGCTAAAGCAAACATACATCGGCATCATCTGACCATCCAGAACACTTCCAAAAGCCAGTGGAATGAATGTTTTTTTCAGAACACCAGATGTCATTCTCATTGAAAAACGTATTTAAGGCTCCATCACCACTTAAATCTTGTAAAGGAGAACCAGTGGCTCTCCATCCCATCACTGACTTCAGTGGCACTGAAGCCTGCCTGAAACACCTGACCTGCAGAATCAGGACCCTAATTTAGTTACACTGCATAACCGTGGGTGTAGAAATGCAGGGAATATTCATTCACACAACTACATTTCGAGTGCTGTTAAATTCACAGCAACTGTGAAGCTACAAAACCAGGAGGAAGTCTGGGAGAACACCTCTCCTGCACAGCTGACCCTACCTCAGGCAGAGCTAGGAGGTCAAAGAGGCAGATCTCAGGAGAAGTATCAGGGATAAATTACTGCAGAGGGATTAATCTCCATGTAGCTGAAATCTATAATGCAGATTTTGTGAGAAGGGAGTACAGCCCACCTTCTTTTCCAAAATGTCCCAGCAGGCAAGATTTACATACAGATAAAACCTGCATTTTTTATTTTTTCCCCCTAACTAAAGAATTGCAATCACTATCAAAATTCATAGGTTTTAGAAATACTTGTGGACGTGGTATCACCTCAAATAACTCTTCCACCGAAATCTCTGGAAACAATTTCATATCAAAACAAATGTAAAACTCACTGACACGACAAAATGGCCAGTATCAAAAAAATTAATACAGGTTGAAATAGACCTTTCTGGCAGGACTCTCCACCTCTCCATGAACTACTGAGGTAAAAAGTTCCCAAAGTACAAAAGCCCCCTGCCAGCACACTCCCACACAAGAGTCACCTCGCTCACACAGCCTGAAGGATTTTTATTGAGTCTGACA